ATATTTTATTTATTATTTTTATTTTATGTGTATGAGTGTATTGCCTGCATGTATGTGAGTGCACCCATGTCGTGCAATGTCGCGGAGGTCAGAAGAGGGCTTCAGATTCCCCTGGAACTGGAGTTAAGGATGGTTCATAGCCGCTATATGGGTGCTGGGAATCGAACCTGGGTCCTGCAAGAGCAGTGAGTGCTCTTAACCACTGAGCCACCTCTCCAGCCCCTTTGCTTTTTATTTTATGTGCATGAGTGTTGTGCCTGCATGTATGCATGTACACTATGTGTGTGTGATGCCCTTGGAGGCCAGAAGGGAGCATCAGATCCCCCTAGAACTGGAGTTCTGGACAGTTCTGAGCTACCATGTAGGTGCTGGGAACCAAATCTGGGGCCTCTGCAAGAGCAGTCAGTGCTTTCAACTGCTGAGCCACCTCTCCAATCCCCAAACCAGCCATTTTTAAAGTCAACCAATGGCGAGTAACTAAAAACAAAGGAAACTAGAAACTAGAGGGTTCACTCAGATTTCAAGGGACCTTTGGGTAACAAATTTCCAGGGCTGGAAATACAGCTCAGTGGTAGAATGCCTGCCTTATTTGTAGGAGGCCCTGGGTTCAATCCCCAGCATGTCAATTAATTAATTAATTTTTAAATGTATAAATTTCCAAGTTGAGTTGGAGATTTTACCTTAAATGATATTCACAGTAAGTCCAGGCTTGGGGGCTGGAGGAGACCAAAGACCAAAGATGTTTTTATGTTTCTAGAATGTGTCAGTGTACATAACACACTGGTATGTTTTTGACACACTGGGATCTGAACTGGTGACCACATGGCACACCTTCACACCCTGGCCCACTGAGACATAGTCAGGTTCCTTCCTCCCATGTCCCCTCAACAGACAGCCTCAGCAATGGGGGTACTTGCCCCCCAACGACACCATAGCTCATTTTCTCTCACTGAACTTCTGGAAACTGGGATGCCATCCACTTAGGGAGGTAAGAAAACTCCAGTGAGTATTTAATAACAAAAATGGGGGGCATGGAGCCAGGGGGAAAGGTTTTCTCTCTAACCTATCATTGCTCCAAATTAAAACATGCCTGAGCTGGGCGTGGTGACACACACCTGTCATCCCAACACTCAGGAAGCAAAAACGGGAAGGTGGAGAATTCCTGGCCAGCCTGGGCTACGTGGTGAAACTCTGTCTCCCAAAACAAAAACAAACACTAGAAGAGGTTTCCCCTTCCTTCTCCCTTGGTAAACCTCCCCCAAGTCCAGATCAGTGGACCAAATCCAGGTAGAAAGCGAGCTGCTCTTTAGATGTTAAGGAGCTGAATGGGCACCTGGGCAGGAAGCCTTCCTCAGCCTGACCCTTACTGCTAGACCCTCACAACCAACTCTTCTGGCCCAGAGCCCCTGCCCCTGAATCTCCACCCTCACAAATACCAGCTGGGCTGAAATCAGACCCCTAGTTCACTTGCCCTACCAGAATGGAATGCCTGCCTGTCTGCCTGCCTGCCCTTGACTGACATTGTCCCCTCACTGCTGGCACATACAGCCTCGGACAGGACAGGGACCCAGCCAGCACAGGGGCCATCCTGAGGTTAACTGCATTCCCATCTGCCCCCACCCAGAATTCTCCCTCTGCCCCTCACTTACATCCCACAGTTGGCAGGACATTCCTGAAGTCCTGTTTCACGTACCGGAGGGCCAGGCTGGACTTGCCCACAGAGCCGCTTCCAAGGAGAACCAGTTTGCACACATAGGGCTGGCTGGAGGCAGCGCTGGGCTGCTGTAGCCCACCAGCCTGTGCCATGCCCTGCAAACAACCACAGTGGACTAAAGTAAGAGGAACATCTGTGGTCAAACCACTTCAGCAAGCCCAGCACATGGGCATATGCACACACACACACACACACACACACACACACACACACACCCATCCTGGGGCTGCTTTTCAGGTGGAACACAGACACCTTGAACAGGGCTCCTGACCATAGGTACTAGCTAGCACCCACTTCACTCAGCACCCAGTCCCACCTTCCCACGTGTAAACTGGGTGAATAAATCCACTTTGTGTCTGTTATGAGGACAGAAGGATCTGTGTGTCCCTCATACCCGACAAAGAGCTGGGGACGGTGCACAGCGAAATACGGCCACCACCAGTTCTGACCTGACTCGTTCTCTCCCTGTCCCTCACTATTACAGACCCCTACTTACCCAGAAAAGTACCTGAAACATCCAAGAGAGGTAAAAAGTATCTGGGCAGCTCTTCTCTATTCATGGATTAAAGCTGATGTTACACACACACACACACACACACACACACACCAGGAAAATCTCCTTAACACAGGAGGAAGAGATTTTTAAAAAATTAAAAAATTAAAAAACCCTCATGATCAACATTCCAGATGCTTCCAGAACCCAAGAGAATGCTATTTTCTAGCCTGTCAGCAACAGCCAGAGCTGAGAGGGTGACACTGTCCCCCCAGCTGCTTATTATCTGAACCGCTTCTAGAAAGAGTCCCCTAATCAATGTCCGTACCTGTTAGAGGTGACTAGTCCTTCGAACAGAGCCTTCTCCCACCTCACCTCGTTGTGGAAAGCCTGGGTGGGAATAGGGGAGGGGTACAGAGAAGACAAGCAGGCATTCGGGTGTGGCCCCCACCCCACAGGTAGCCACTGCATAGACTGCTTGGCCCTGTGATAATGGAAGAAAAGAACAGAACATGAGCAGCAGGTCAGCACAGGGTCCTAGGTACCAAAGGGCCACTGCAAAGAGATAGAGCTGGAGTTGAGCAGAGAACTCATCTGCCCAGTGGGAAGGGGCTCAGGCCAGCCAGCATCAGTGATCACCAGCAGGCTTAGGACCCACCCAAAGGGACCTCTGGAGTTTTACCATGCACTGGTTTCAGAAAAGAATCAGAAACAAAACTGCTTTATGTTGCTCATCTAGATCTTTTTAAAGCCTCCCCATCGCACTGTAAAATTAATTAATTGATTAAATTAAAATTTAAAACCCCCCGCGATGATCAAAGCCTGAAGCTGAGGCTAAGAACCACTGTTTGGGTTCCCTGTGTTTCTTTAGGGTTGGTAACAACCCTAGGACAAGTAGGTTCTCGGCAAATACCTACATAATAGGTGAATATGTGCATATATGTGTGTGGATGGGGGATGATGGGTAGGATGATGGATGGATGGATGGATGGATGGATGGATGATGGGTGAGTGGATGGGTGGGTGAGTGGATGGATGGATAGTAAATAGAGATGGGTGAGTGGTTGGGTGGGTGGGTTAGCGGATGGATGGCTGGATGGATGGATAGTAGATAGATGGATGGGTGAGTGGGTAGGTGGGTGGGTTAGTGGATGGATGGATGGATGGATGAATGGATGGTGAATGGACTGATCAATTGACTGAAGGATGGATGCACAGGTGAGATATGGAGGAAGAGCATTTACCTAGTACCTGTGCTTTGAAATATTTGTATAAATTGAAGATAATTTCTTGGGGCCTAAGAGAGAAGAAAAGAGGCTTGGACAGAAGGAGGGTGGGGGCCACCTCTGAGAGCAAGATGACCAAGAGAGCAGGTTAGAGAGAGAAATAGAGAGAGGAGGGGGAGAGGCCTGCTCTTCCTCCAGGAACGGCATGTGCAGCCCAACAACTCCACCCTTTGAGCCAAAGGGTGACTCAGAGTCCAGAATCCCAAATAAGGCCCCAGAGGAGACACCACAGCCTCAGAGCTCAGCCACTGCCAGGGACCATCCATCAACCTCACCTACCAGGGCTTTGCCAGCCAGTAAAGCTCTGGACCTGCTCACTTCTGCTGAAATCTGTGCGACTCTCTTCAGCAATGGCCTCCTGTCTGGGGTCAAAAGCTGCCACCCCCACCCCTCCATCGTGGAGCCTGCACCCTCCCATCCCTTTTCTTGATTGAGATGAGCTCAGCTTCTGCTTGCGTATAAGTCCGTACATCGGTATTAGCAGTGGCTGCTCTCTCAGGCTTCACTGAGCACCTATAGTCACTGAGGGACCGTAAAGGCAGGTGCTCAGTGTCTCCTCAATGAACCAGGAAGTAACTCTAACCGGATCAATGTACTTTCTGCCCCTGGGCTTTCCTGCCAGTCACACCCTGGGGCTTGTTGGAGGAGTCCATGGGGCACTTACAGAAAGGGAGACAGGCTGCTAGCAGGAACTCAAAGGGTGCAGCTGAGAGACCCCTCTAGAGAGAAATGGAGTGGGCATACTCTCTGAGCCTGCCTGCCGCTGCACACACCTGCCCGCCGCTGCACACACCTGCCTGCCGCTGCACACACCTGCCTGCCGCTGCACACACCTGCCTGTCAAAGCCAAGCAAGAAACCTCAGGGTCTAGAGTCATCCCTGGACAGAGGCCCAGAAGCTTTTCTAAGACAAAGACTCAGAATTCAGAGCAGGAGCCTGTGGCTTCTACGTTCCCAGGGGCGCTTGCTTGGTCCCAGCTACTGGCAGGATCCCCCATCTGCTTCAAGAACCATGCAGCAGCCTACCAGAGAACTCTACCCCTGCACATCCAAAAAACGGCAAAGCCGGATGTGGTGGCGCAGGTCTGTAGTCAGGGCACTTGGGAGGCTGAGGCAAGAGGATTGCCATGAGTTTCAAACCAGCCTGGGCTACATAGTGAGATCCTCAATAAATAAATAAATAAATATTCTCTCAGTTTAACATAGACATAACATCAAAGGCAGCTGTCCAGGTGGCTTTGAGTGCTTCAAAACCACCATGTCTGTCCATCACGTGAGATTTCTACAACTATCTCAACTGGATGGTTCGCTTCTCTATTACTAGATTTTACCCAGTATGAATTATTTTTCTCTAAATCAATAAGATCATGAGTATTTTCATGCTACTTCTTGTGATATTATGTTTCAATAATAGCAAGTTGGAGCCCTCTGTTCAAAAAGAAAATCTCAAGTGTGGCACCTGTCCCTCCTCTAGAATCTAGATCTTTCTGAAGGCAAAGCTGCTCTCACGAGGGCCGCATTCATGATTAGAGATCACTTCTCATCCTGGTTTGGAGTTTCTTCAGCAATCACAAGCTTGTCTCTCTTCCTCCAAAGGAAAAAATTTAAGGAGGGAACCCCAAACTGGTCTCTGCTGGGAGAGGCATTGCAAGTGTAGTCTGACTGACCCTGCAAAGGCAGCATCCTGGCTTCCTGCCTGGACCTTCACAACTGTTCAGTCCTGTCTTCAGTACAATGGGACATTTAATACAGGAGGGAAGGGAGGCGGACAGGTTGTAGATTTTCAAAGGAAGTTTTACAAGGGAATCTGATAAGCCCCCTAGATAACCTCAGTCTTCCTTATTTGAACTTCTGCTGCCCTCTGAAAAGGGCTCTTTGGAAAAGGCACCTCTTTGATTTTGGTAGTTTATGCTCAAGGTTCTTATCTGGAATTTTCTTCAAGGAAAACTTAAATGGAATCTCCTTGCAAGAATCTGGCTTAGTGAACCATCAGCCATCCAAACAAGGTCACAAGGAGCACACGCCTCGAGCTCTGCCTCTGATCACACACAGGACACACGGACACACACACACACACACACACACACACACACACACACACACAGGAAGTCACTCTGCAAGGTGCGCAGATGTAACAGTGACTCACCTGTTCACTTTAAGGGCGCTCTACAGGCCATCACACCTCAGAGCTCTGTCCCACTCCCCTTCCTCCTGGCTATATTTCCCTTACCCCTAAGGTGGCTGTGTAGAGGCAGGCAGGACAGGAGGAGGTTCTGCTCCAATGGACAGCCGGCCAGTGGCAAAGCAAAGAAACCAGGAAGTCACAGCCTCCCGCACTGGCCAGGCCCTGGCCTGCAGGTCAGCCTCTTCCCTTCAGACTCCAGTGCAAAGTCCCCCTGTGATCTTTGATCACCTGGGACAGAAGTAGGCCAGACGTCACATTCCAGTTCTGCATTGCCTCGCCCAGCTGCAGCCGGTGTGTCAGCCGCTTCCAGGCCTCCCCTTTATGAGAACACCTGTCTCAGCTCCTTGCTGTTGTAAACCACCACAGACCAAGAAAGCCAAAAGCTTTTTCGGCCAAGTGAGCTAACTCCTTAACTTTTTAGACAAGCAGCTGGGGGCTAGGGAGGCAGCCCAGGGAGGCAGGACCAGGGGCCAGAGCTTGGGATTAGTGCACCAATCCAGCGACAGGTAACAGTCTGGGTGGGGCCAGAGGATCCCTGGAAGGAGAAACTCTGGGCTAAACCGTGATAAGGAAGGTAGTAATGAGGTCAGCTACAATGTCAATCCACAAAACCAGCCTAAGAATTAGTTGTCTCTGTGCCTAGAACTCACTTGGATTACTAACAAGACACACTGGACGCTAGGGACCTCAGCTCAGTGGCTCCTTGGTCCCCATGACCCAGGAAGGATGGCCCACTGTCCTACGTTCCCACGAGGCTCTCTCGCTGTCCCTGAAGGGCATTGTCTCTGCTGAGACCACACAACCCTGAGCAGGAGAGCTCTCCTGCAGCCAGCCCGTCCCTCCAGGACACACTACCGGCCTGTCCACGTCTGGGCGGCCTCACTGCCTTAGAGACCAAGAACCCAACTCTGTGTCTGAACAGGGTCCTGATCCCCAGCCCATAGATTGGCAACCAGCATCTGGAAGTGACAGCCAGTCAGCACTGTCTCTGTGGCTCCTGATGGAGGGTGGAAATGAGCAGCTGTGACCTTTGTTTGTGTTGTCAAGGCTCCACTTAAAACAGCAACTGCTTTTAAAAACTCTGATCTGTGAAAAGGAAGCCAGCCCAGTCTACATAGCAAGTTCCAGGCCAGCCCCTACAGGAAGACCCAATCTCGACAACAACAAAACTCAAAGCAAAAAAAGTAGTTGATTCTGACTGAAGAAAGACTGTGACCCAGGAGTGCAGATTCGAGTCACCCTGAGTGACACTTTCTGCTACACAAGTTATATGAACCTTTACAGCCACAGAAGAGAAAAAAACTACGCATTCATCAGCTAACTGATGAACAGGGTATGGAGTAGGCAGGCTGCAGAACAGGGACATCCCTTCACGAGACCCATCACAGACAGTCTTAGCTTTAGGGCTAGGAGACCTAGAGGTCTGCTGAGCTTAAGGATGCATTTCAACAAGTTGATCTACCTACTGGGAGGACGGCTCAGGGTAAAGTGCTTTCCTCTCAAGCATAAGCACCTGACTTTGATCCCCCAAAACCTACATAAACATGTCAGGAATGAGACCCGTAATCCAGCTCTGAAGAGGGACAGACAGGAGGATCCCTGGGGCTCACTGGCCAGCCTAACTGGTCAGCTCCAGGCCAATGGGAGACCTGGTTTCAAAGGACGTGAGTGGTGTTGCTGCAAAAGACACCTGAGGCTGCCCTCCACCTCCACCTCCGTGTGCACGCACACAGTGCACACACACACACAGTTCACACCCACACACACACACACCTGAGGCTGCCCTCCACCTCCTCCTCCGTGTGCACGCGCACAGTGCACACACACACACAGTTCACACCCACACACACACACACCTGAGGCTGCCCTCCACCTCCACCTCCGTGTGCACGCACACAGTGCACACACACACACACACCTGAGGCTGTCTTCCACCTCCACCCTCCGTGTGCACACACACACAGTGCACACACACAGTGCACACACACACACACACTTAGTGCCACACACACACACACCTGAGGCTGCCCTCCACCTCCACCTCCGTGTGCACGCACACAGTGCACACACACACACACAGTGCACACACACACACACACCTGAGGCTGTCCTCCACCTCCACCCTCCGTGTGCACACACACACAGTGCACACACACAGTGCACACACACTTAGTGCACATTTATCAAAAAACAATCAGTTCAAGAAATTTATATTGCAAATTGTTATTCGGAATACATGTGATTTTACAAGATCATTCCTCATAGCACCAGGCCCAATGTTCCTTGATAGAAAACAGTCAAATAACAAATAATCTAGGGAATTTCCCACAGGTATAAATTATGCAAATAACCATTTATATCTTCATTTACAATTTTTTGGTCTTTTTGAGACAGGGTCTCCCTATAGCCCCAGCTGTCCTGGAACTCATTATGTAGACCAGGCTGGCCTTGAACTCACAGAGATCCGCCTACCTCTGCCTCCCCAGCGCTGGGATTACAGGCATGCGCCACCATGCCCAGCAAAATAATATTTTTTTTAAAAAAGCCTAACTAGCCCAAGATGATTTTATCTTTTAATCTGCAACATTCCATCACTCCTCAATCTCCACATTCTAGTCAGTCAAGGTCAACCTGCAGAGTTTTCAGTGTACATGTGGCTTTTTCAGAGAACTACAGTCCATATCAGCTTAATGATCTTGTTGTGTGTGTGTGTGTGTGTGTGTGTGTGTGTGTGTGACTGTGGGTGTATGTGCCTGTGTGTTTGAAGCAGGGTCATGTTATGTAGCCCAGGCTGGCCTTAAATTCCCAAGTTTTGGGATTATAGGCTGGCACCACCACACCCAGCTCACTGTTTTTTATTTATATACTTACTTTGGTGGCCCTAGAGATCAGATCGTGGGCCTTGTACATGCTAGGCAAGTACCGTACCAACCGCTGGGCTACATCCCAGCCCCTCCTTGGCTTTGTTTTGATTCTAGAGTCTGGAAGCCCTTCAGTTTCAACATGCCAAGAGCTGGAGTTTTGTTTTACAGACAGAGAGAACTAAAAATCAGAAACAAGAGGGGCACCATGGCTGCCACTGCTGGCCACATCACGCCACTTTGTAGAGCACCTCCATTTTGGCTAAACTGCTGAGAATCCCCATAACTAAATAATTGGGTTTCTAGAACTGAAACAACTTGTTTCTCTAGATATTTTCCCTCCCTACCTATTGACCACTAGTAACAACCAGGCAGGAGAGATGTTTATGCCTTACCTGACATTCTTTAACTCGACACTCTATGGTTACCACTAGCAATAGTCAATTCTGGGCTGAAAAAGGAAACTTATCAATCTCCTTCCCACCCTCCTGTGAGAGCTATAATAAGGGACCACCTGTCTGCCACGCAGACCTGAACTCTCCTCAGAACTCTTGCTGTGCTGTCTGCCTGTCTATGGCATTAATAATAATTCTTCTAAGCCAGGCATGGTGGCGCACACCTCTAGTCCTAGCACTCAGGAGGCAGAGGCAGGTGGAGACTGAGGCCAACCTGGTCAGTGAGTTCCAGGCCAGCTAGGGCTACAGGGAGACCCTGTATCAAAAAAATACAAAATAAAATTAATAACAGTAACCTTTCTAACAAACCTCTCACCCAGAAGGATGACCCCCTGGTGCCCCCTTCAACTCCAAATCCGAAACCTTTCACTTATTTCAAACTTACTTTCCTTCTCAGACGAAGCAATAACAAAGGAACAGATTACGGTTTGACATCAGGCATTTTGGGTTTACCTTTTCATCTTTTTTAAAAAATCGTTTTAATTTATTATTTTGTGTATGTGTGTTTTGCCTGCATGTGTGTAAGTGCCCCATGTGTGTGCAACACCCACAGAACCAGAAGAGGGCATCGGATTCCCTGGAACTGGAGTCACAGATTGTTGTTAGTTGTCATGTGGGTGCTGGGAACTGAACTCGGGTCCTCTGTAAGAGCAGCCGGTGCTCTTAACCTCTGAGCCATCTCCCCAGCCCCTTTATCTTTTTCTGTTTTAACTGCAAGGCTGGGGATGGCACACGGGGCCTCACATACATTAGAAAATGGCTCTATGCCTGATCCACACCCTGGCCAAATTCCCTTTGTGTGTGTGTAGGGATTAAGAGAGAGGAGCCTGTTTGGAAAGTGTCTGTCATCTCTCCATGCTGGTTCCTGGGAGGCTCAGGAGAGCAGCTGGGCTCAGCTTGGTGACAGAACTTGAGCACAGGTGATCCCATTTGAATGTTTAGCCTGGTCTGTGCAGGAATCTCTACTTAACAACATGGATGGCTTCTCCTGCACGTCTGGAAGCAGCCCCTTCCTGCAGGGCTGGAACACAGCCTAGAAGACACAAACCCCAGCTCTCCAGCAGCCATGCAGACGAAACTCTCCATTACATGTTCGTGAACCCAAGTGGGAGATCTGGGCCTGTGGCTGACAGGGGTTTGGAAGGCAGGCCTGGTCCTAGAAGCCCTGGACCCTGGAAGCTTCCAGAGGATGAGGTGGACCAGAGGTCATGTGACCTCCCCACTGAGGAGGGGCAGCCACCTCAGACTTGGGACCAGAAAGGATGGGTCTGGAGGCTCGCTCCCAGGAGCTATGCACCCCTTCCCTTCAGGGCTGGGCATTGCATTCAGCGGGGAGCTAGTCCAAACCAGTGCTAAGCTGGGAAGGGAAGGGGTGGGGAGGGGTGGGGTGG